ATGGATGGGCTTTTAGAATGCTTGAGTCATGTGTAGACATGCCACAGGGTACAGATTAACCTGTGCTTTCTTCACAGTTGTGCCTACAGAGTCATAGAAGAGTGAAGCTTAACAACATTCGCTAATCCATTGTCACGTGTCAGTGTAGGTTCAGCTCTGTTTAGGCAAATCCTTGCAATTGCTTTTCTGACTTCTACTGAAAGATCTCTGCTAACAGAAGGTTCACAGCTCTCCAGGACAACCTGTTTCTGTTTCGTTATTCTTTGCTTTAAAGAGCTGTTTTCTAGCTTTCTTTCTGTGATTCAGTTAAAAGTCACAGACACTGTGAGCATAAAGAATAGGTTATGCTCTCCCTTTTTCCCATGTTGTGCCATTAATGCTGCCTGCAAATATGACAGGTAAATGTTGCAGTAGGGCTGTGCTGTCATTCTCTCTAGAAGATACCAAGAACACGCACTAGGTAAATGAAGCAAGCTATAGATTTGGTAGAGTAGCATCTTAAGAAAAATTGATTTGAGACTTTTCATGGATTTTATTTTCTTTCTAGTGCTAAAAATTACAATTCCTTAGGTACACATGTTGAGTTCCCCTCTATTACCCATACCAATTGAAAATAAAACTGTAACTGGCTTTTTTTTTCTTACTGAGAGTTGATACATTAGAAACATTTTACAAGAAAGTTGTAAAACTTGTACCACTTGAATATGCATTTTAAAACATGTTTTGGCTGGCGAGAGAGTTGGGGAGCAAATTGATTCATGTTCCTAACAAGAGCAAGTGGCTGAGCCAGTCAAGGGAAGTTGTCTTTGTTCTTGTAAAGACTCTCTCAGTAACAAACAGAACAAAAAGGCCGTCAAAGGTGGAAACCCTTCATTGTAGTTCTGCTAGTGTGCAAGGTTAGTGGTTTGGTGAAGCTTCATGAATAAATTAAAAGCAGAAAATTAGTGCTGTGAGGAAATTCACTTGAGGCAAAATACATGTTTGAGCATTTAACACAGGAGCAGTGTTCAGGGAGTTCTGTGGAGAAGGGAATCTGCAGTTCCACTGGCATTTGTACTCTGTTGATATTCATTTATGAACACTGTTAAATGTATATAATACTTCCATTCATTGATGAAAGGGAAGGTCAAAACAGAAAGTCAGCTTCTTTGCAGATGATGTGTTTTGATGTTGCCATTAATAGAAGGTAAATCATGGCAAGTCCCTAGGGATAGCAGAAAGTAAACTGAAATGTAGCTTTAGGGAGAAATTCCCGATAACTAAATGATTCAAGCTACCCTTAAGTTGAAAGACGTAGGAAAGGAGAAATGGAGAATGAAAAATGCTGTGAGAATGGAAAGAGAATGAGGCAAGAGTATGTAATGTATTGTGATGGTAACAGAACAGGCCAAGACAATTTCTAACTGTGCTGGTGCAGCCTTACACAACAGTTTGTCTTGTGGTGTGCTGGCACAGGTGCTGTGTGCCGTAAGATTCCTTTATTGCCACTTCGTTACCAAAACTTTACTGACAAATTTGAAGAAATACAGGGAAGATGAAGAACAACTACTAGAGAGAACCTAGTGAAGAAATATTGCTTAAATTAAACACCTAAAGCCACACCCCTATACTTGAGTTTGAATACTCATCTCATGAAAGTCTGGAGTTTAACTTCTCTTCCTTTTTTGTTTCTGTGCTATAATGAAGCAGTTTCTCCTTCTGCCACTCAAATTCATGTAGGAAGAGCTCACAGTCTGTCTTTGCAAGGAGCAGAAGACCTGTACTCAAAGCCGGTGGCAAAATTCATGTACTAGATGTGATTAATAACTAACTTTTTCCCCATGGCTTTGATTTCTAGTGTAGAAAACAGCCTTGAGTACATTCTAAAATGTTACTGGAAAGACCAAAGAAATGATGATGTTTGTTGTTTCACAATTCTATAATCATTATTCATAGCAAATTCACTAAGGCATTTTGCAGTCAGATTTATATGATTCAGGAAGAAATTGGTAATATCCAGCCTGCGTTTGTTAGAGAAGTGGGGTTTTGTTTTTGTAAAGAAGAATGAAAACCTAAAGAAATTTCCCAATTCTGGCATAGGTTTTTGCAGGCACCATTGGGGAGAAGGCAGAGTTTTTAGCACTCTCTTATGTATACAGGACATGAGAGACAAAATAAAGAAACCTTTGTGCTAGATAATAAAATTAGACATTTTCTGAGATACAAACTCAAACATTGTTAGATCAAATACAAAGAAATTAATAAAGCTGAAATTTGACAGTAGGTTTTTTTTACTTGGTTTCCTGAACTCCATATAATGTTCAAGTGTCATCATGGACCAGATTAACATTTCAGACAAATGCAAATAAGAAGCAAATTAATACAAATCAAGATCTTCAGCAGAAGTGAACTGAAGGTTTGTTTATAAGGCTCCTAAGGCCATTTACAAGCTTTGGAAAGAATGTTTTATCCCTGAAAAGTGACAACTGTGATGAGGGTTTCTATTTTATTCAAGCAGGAATAAATTGCATATGAGAAATTCAGTCTCTGTTCACTCTGTGTTGCATCATTGTATGGCTGGGGTTAATTTAACATAGTTAGAGATGATATTCAGCAAAGAATGTTTTGGTTTCAGTAAAGTACTGTATGGGAGTTTTCTTCTGATTCAATTCAAATTGTGGTGATTGTGTGATTTCAGCAGATCTTTTGCAACTAGCAAAGCAAGTTGCAAGCAGCTTTCTTCTCATTGCAAGGGGGTGTTTCCTAGAAATCAACACTACCCTAAGGCAGTTTTGAGGTCATAAATATGTACTTGAGTGGATTTTCACTGCAACTGAAAGTGTTTTACTTGATTGAGCCTGTTTTGTATATGCTCACCTTTAGCCCAGGCATAAACCTCCTTTTTAAGGCAGGAAAATTAACACACATAGGTGCTTTTCTGAACTGGTATCTTGAACATTGTGGACTTTACACTATTTTAACTGTTTTGAAGGATTGATCACAGTTCTCAATAAAACAGGTATAAGGGGAAAATTGAAAGTGAACATACTTTTTTATTCAAAACCCCTTGGCAAACTCTGAACTATGCACATTCTTTGTACATCTCAGAATTAGATTGGTCTCAAGTGAAGGGCTTGGGATGTTCTGCCCATCTAAGGTTGAGATGCTGCTGTGTCATTTTGATTTTGTCCAACACTCATGACACAATCTTCTTAGCAATGCTGTGCAGTTTATGTATTCATTATGCTGAGATCATTTGTATAAATGTTGTTTTCTTCTGTGTTTTGCTTATAATCTCTCAGTTGATACACTTGTGTAATATCTGTACCTGCCTATTTTTTTCCTTAATCCATAATCTGAATTCTTGTAAAAGTTCTTGACTCAGCATGTCTTTTATGTGATATGTCAAATATACTGAAATACTTCTTATAATTGAAAAACATTGTCTGCAGCTAAAAACGCTTCTTCAAATTGTTGTTTTTGAAGCAGTTACCATATGGCATTTTCTCAGAGATTGTTGTGGTATCAGGTGATGAACTTCAGGTTTTCCCATGAAAACCAAATTCAAAGAACTCGTCCTTTGTATTGCATTTTCTCATAGTAGTATGAGCTACATAAAAGAACCATTACCTAATATTCTTCTAAACAGAAGGTGATTGCATTGTCAAAGACTGCTGGTGAGTAATTGCACACAGTGTGCCAGATGGTGACTAACTGGGTACAAAATTTTAAGATTAAATCATTTACAAACTAGTAATGAGTTTTCAATGTAGCTTTTCTTCTGTAATCTAGAATACTTAAAATGAACTTCATTTTATATGTTGACCAAGTATTATCTGTATGTATTTGTAAGCACATGCAAAATGGTCCCTTATACACTTTAGTGCTCCTTTTTTGGGTTTGTGAATGGAATCTTTGTTCAAAATTATCAAAAGGAAGTGAAGTAAATTATGAGATTCCACATAAGAAAATAAAGGAAACTTCACTCTAGGTATTATCTGGATGCAGTCCATATAATAGCCTGTGTACTGTGTCCTTGTGAAGTAATGTGGTAGTCTGGATTATTTTCCTAGTTAATAAAGCATTTGTCATGTAAAAATCCTTCTTGAGGAATTATCTCATGTAAGGAATTAGTGCAATTGAAGAGACATATGGATCTCTGAAGGCTATTAATTCAGAGATCCTGTTAGAGCTCAGGTGCAGTACATTGCATGTTTTTCCCTATTTATTATATATCCCAAGGTGTAACGAAAAAAAACCCCAAACCCTGAATGTACTAGTCTAATGTGGTGAATGTTCATTGATTATGTACTGTAGTGATAGAGATCTTTCACGTGTGAATGCTGCTTGCCTAGAGGAAAACAAGTTGAATATAAAAAACCAGGAAGAATTGACTATTAATAGAGTTTTGCTTTGTTAATGTCAGAGTATATATGGCCACACTGTTCAGCTACCTGGTAGGCACCATACACAAATGGCTTCTAAAGTAATGGAATTTTGGCTGATTTTATTTTCCTCTCTCAGTAATGAATCTTCAGCAGTACTTTAGCTATTCAACTTCTTAATTGCATCATGCTTTCATTTGAGCCTCAAGCTGCACCAGAGGAGGTTCAGGTTGGACATCAGGAGGAATTTCATCATGGCAAGGGTTGTGAAACATTGGACAGGACTGCCCAGGGAGGTGGTGGAGTCATCATCCCTGGAGGTGTTCAAGAAATGACTAGACGTGGTACTCAGTGCTGTGGTCTAGTTGATAAGGTGGTGTTCAGTCAAAGGTTGGACTCGATGATCTTAGAGGTCTCTTCCAACCTAAGTGATTCTGTGATTCCACGATCATTGTAACTTTTATGTTGCTCAAGATGTTTTTTGATTGCATTATGTATATAATATGTGTGTGTATATATATATAATGTATATTATATATATAAGAGAAACAAGTCTGAAGATAAAAACAAATTAAATGCTGGGTCAGAAAGACATATAGAAAACTCCAATCTTTTTCTTATTTTCTTTCATCCTAGGAGGCTTTTCAATGGGAGGTGGAATGGCAATGCATTTAGCATATAGGTTTCATCAGGATCTGGCAGGAGTCTTTGCATTGTCTAGTTTTCTAAATAAAGACTCTGTTGTTTACCAGGTGAGTGTGTGGTAGACTTAATAGAAAAACTGCTAGCTAAATGGCAAACGTAATTAAAATTGAATATAGCATGTTTATTTATCTGAGTCAATTGATTTATGTTCTAAACTTATGCCATTTCCTGGAAATAAACAAACACAGCATTAGGCAAGTGAGGATTTAAAGCTGCGCTTACATGATGTTTTGTTGCTTTTATTGCACAGACAGTACAATTATTAGCAGTGTAGAAATAGATTAACATAACAAACTAAATGCTTTGCAAGTTGTCCTTAATTATTAGAGAGTCTGTGTAAGTAACTATTATTTGAAAATTTATGATGAATTACAATACTCATGGGCTCCACCTGCTGTCATGATTTTTTTCTGTTTCCCTTATCTGGAGAGGGGTATAGACCTTAAAGTAAACACTGTAATTTGTCAAGAGTTAGCATATTGGAGTTTGAAGTGAACTTTTTTCCAATATTTCTTTTGTTTACTTTTGTAGAGATAGTACAATATGACCACTAAAATGCAGATTAATAAATGCAATGCTGTTTGAGTTGTCACCATGTAATTGTAACTAACTATTCTTCTAAATTTTTTACTGATATGTCTGACAGTGTTTCCTCTCCATCTAGGCTTTGAAAAGTAATGAAAATGTTCCTCCAGAATTATTTCAGTGTCATGGAACTGCTGACGAACTAGTTCTCTACTCATGGGGTGAAGAAACCAACAAGATGTTAAAGTCACTTGGAGTATCAGCAACACTTCATACTTTTCCAAACCTCAATCATGAGTTAAACAGAACTGAAATAGAAAAATTAAAATCCTGGATTGTAAAAAAATTGCCTGTTGAAGCAGCAAAGGCAAATGAATAAAAGAAGATCCAGCCTCATAAGCTTTCTGATTTTTGTGGTTTTAAGATCACGCATGGCATGTCTGTGGGTGTCCCAAATATGGTATATCAGCACAGCTTCAGGTAGACACATTCCATAAAGTGCACCTAAGTGGTGAAATGATGGAGCTGAGTATTAAAACTCATCTTATTATATGGGTTTCTTTTTCAGTTTTCTTATCCAGTTTTTAAATACACATCCACATCAGTCTACCGAAAATAATGACTGATACTATTAAAACCATTCCACAATGACCAAAACTGTATTCAAGAAGCATTGCTCTGAATTTGCCAGATAGATATTTTGGGTGAGTGGGGGGGATGTTCTAAGATGGAAAAATACACCGTAGTATAGTTGTCTCTTAATGGCATTACAGCAGAAAAAGGCCGATTATTAAAATAATGCCCTTTTACTTGTAGAAATACATGCACATTTTCAAGTTAGTTCAATGAGATGAACTGTATTGGCTTCAGTTGGATTCTCAGCATATGGGAATGAACCTGCATCAAAGCAGAGTTGTATGTCACCTCAAAAAAATGAGGTTTGTGTTATATTTTAAGAAATCCTTAGTAGCTGTGTCTAGCTCTACCATGAGCGCTTGTTATTACCCCTTCCCACTGCTTTGTTACTCCGAGCACTAGCTTTATGTGAGTTTCTTGAGCCCTGTGTGGTTTCTAGTGTAGGTTTTAAAAGAAGAAATGCCATCATGATTGTTAAGGCCTATCCTGTTTTTGAAGAAATCATTCTTTGGGCACTGTTCCTGTAGCAACTTATTTTTGCCAACAGTTTTATTTTGGCCAGAAAGATCACATTTTAAATTAAAAGATGAAGATACTTGATTCCTCCATGAATATTTAAAAGTTGTAAATAATGATTTTGATGTAAGGAAAACTTGCATCCCATTATTTTAATGGTGGATGATTTATTTCTGTGTCACTTTGATAAAGTAACTCAGAGTATAAATATCTATTCTTATGTAATTGTAATGCTTTTTTTTATTCCCCCCTCTGCCCCATTTTCTACTTCCCAAATTCAGTATTTTTTTTGGCATGACAATGTATTCAGTCTTTTGCCAAAGCAAATAGACCCAAATCTCTTGCTTAATCTTTCCCCTTTTCTGAGGAGTGGATCTAGGACACTGTCATTTGCTCTGTCACAGCAGATTGCTGCCGGTACAGACTGTGACTCCAGAAGTATCAGCCAGCTCTGGGGGACTGAATTTTATTGGAATCCTCATGCTCCAAGTCCTAAGCCAGCTTTTACCTATCTTGAATAAGCAAAGGGGAAAAAATGTCACTGTTCAAGTACAAGGCATGTAATTGGCAGTAGCAGGTAACAACTTCCTGCTGCTAAAAATATTTTGCTTTATTTCATTTTCCTAGCATTAGCAAGTCAGCAGTCTGTTCTGAAAAACAGCATTTTAAATGGCACATGAAAACTCAGCTATTTAAAACACTGAGTGAACAGCAGTTTTTCCTGGTGCCCTAGGCTTCCTAGTTGCTACAAATTAAATTGAAACAGGTGTGTGCAGAGGCAGCTGCGCTAACATTGCCTTGGCCCAAGTCTAATTACAAGCCTTGACAAGTGAAGTAGTAGCATTCTAGCAATAATGCATCATTTTGAGTTTTGCCACATTTTCTGCTCTTCCCCCATTTCCTATCAGGAGGCTATTTGAGCCACTAATGCAAGGTGGTAATTCATTTTGGTGACAAGTGCATTCAGATGGGAAAGTGGCAGGCTTCTGGCAAGGTGGCTTTTAACAAGGTCGGAGAACTGTGCAAAACAGTTGAAGTACGATCATGGAGGATAGAAATTATTACCAAGCCAAACCCAGTTCTTTTGATTGTTTCTGCAGTGTCAATAGTTGCAAATACAGTGGATACAAAGTTTGGCTGAGTTCCCTTGATACAGGCTGAAAAGCAATTACAAAGGTTTGCATTCCATGATATCCTTAGCAAACACTAAGTCCCTGGTTTGCATCTGGTTTTTTTCCATCTTCCTTGGCTTGTGTGTGAAATGCCAACTAATCAGGAGATGCATTGTGACATAAGACTCAAAGTCTGTCAGGTATATGCTGTAAAGGAGACCCAAATCTCAGGGGTTTTTAAGGTCAATTTTGGGATGTTAGAGAACTTGTCAACGGAGTTTTCCTTCAGGCTGTAGGTAGCTACAGTGAGGACAGTGGGACTTGTCTATCCCATTTGCTGAGGATGATGTGGCTCTGTGTCCCAGATGGTGCCTAGCTCAGATTGGACAAACAAATTAAAGTTTAGCCCAGAAAAATTTGGACTGCTAGTTGGTATTGAGAAGCAGCCAGAGGCAATATTAGTCCTTGAAGACAGTGAGCCTGCTGTTAGATCTCTAGTCAAATGAAAACTTTATTAGTCAAAATTAGCCCAGCTGCTTAACAGCATGTTTCAGAAGTAATCTATATAGGCTTTTGACTGACTGGCCTCTTTTTTTTTGACCTGGCCCTTTTTTGCCACACTTTAAAAAAATTCCTGTTCAAATTGATACTGCAAACAGGGCAGGGGTTTATTTGCCGAAAGGGCATCTCAGCAAGGCTTGTGGCACAACAGCTCCTTGACCTGCTTGTTGGCTGCTGGGTAGAGTTCAAAGTGCTTTATAGAACATTTAAGGATCAAAAAGAGGTCCTTTTTGATTAACTGGTTGCATGTTGTTGTGCCAGGGTTCCTGTAGCAGGTGCCTGGGCATACAGAGCCCTGAACAGGTGTGTCTTACCAGCTGAACCTAGATTTAGATGAAGAGAATGGAAAAGAATGCAACTGTTTTCATTCATCCCTAAGCTTCTACTCCTGATCATACAAAGATGATAGGGAGAAAGACTATGTACTCTTGGGAGGAGCAAACTTGAGGCTGTCACATTTTTTTCCCCTTATGCATAAGCTTCCTCCTGCTTCTGTTCATATTTAAAGGTACAGTCCTGAACATAATTTTGAAGAATAAATTGCAAAACTTAAGTGCCAAGTGTAGATCTCTATCACTTGAGCTACTGAAGATACAAGAACATAAACTAGAGAGAAGGCAGCTCTGTGCTGTGCAGCTCCAGAAGAGGGAGGAGCAATAGTGGGCATGCTGGTTTATGTTCATACTATAACTCTTTTGAGGCCTTTTTTTTCTTTTTTTTTTCCTTACTATTTAGATAAGAGTTTGGCTTTTAAGTATAAACTTTTAATACCATTAAAAAATGTAACTTGAATAACTGAGTAAATCCATTCAGATTAATACTATTTTCTTGGAGTTTGGTACTGTTTTGGTGAAATACATAATTCAGTAAGTAAAAGAAAACTAGTTTAATATAAACTTTAACTCTCTTGGGCTCAATTAGTGTGTTCCATACTGCTTCAGAAACAAAGTGCTAGTGTTTGCACTTTTTTTTTCTTCCTACTTTTCTGACACTACACATTTGTATTTCAAATGTTTGGAATTTGTGACTAGATCATTGCTGTGAACTTTGGTGCCTTCTGAGTAATTAATGTGCTCATACAGATGTTTAGAGCCAGAGAACAAATGTGAACAAGGCAGAAATTGGCTGATCAATGTGGGAAGCCAGAAGACATTGGTAACATAATTTTGATATTAAAGTAAGAAGTTTTCTACTTAAATTAATCTCTTCTCATGTTAGATCTTTAACTGCTTTTTTAATGAAATCATCTCTAAAGCCATTTAACAAGTCTCTACAGATGAAGTGAGCCAAATGGGTGAATGTAACTTGTATTTATAAAGATGAGATCCAGATGGCAAAACACAGAAACAGGAACCTAGTGGACAATGTTAGAATGAAATTGTGAAGGCATAGATGGAGGAAAGTGGATATGAGTTTACTTTCCAGTTGAGTTTATATGAGTTTACTTTCCAATTACTGTCACGTGTTCTAGGACAGCCGAGAATGTTGGTTGGGAGATCTTAGAGGAAAACCCTCTTCCATGAATTTTCCAGCTTGAATCAACCTTCATGAGTGATGCAGCTCTTCAAAGCTGCTCTAGAGAAAGGAACATAATTACTAATGCATGTAGTTTCCTACTTTAGTTTGTTTTCCAAATCACCTTCCATTGTGGGAACCTAATGTCACTACTCAGAAGAAAGAGCAGCCAGCAGTTCTATTTTCAGTACCAGGTTGTCTGTTCAAGTGTTTCTCTATACACTGCAACGGGACTTAGCAGCATCCTGTTCATGTCTTAGTTACTGACTGGTCAGTAGCACACAGAATGTGGAAGGCAAGTGCTTTTCCTCTACATAGCTGTGAGTGCCAATATTTTTCTTTACAAATGAGAGCCAGAATAAAAAGGCAGTGGTTTCCCCACTCCCATTCTGTAGTTCAATGGCTTGTGTTAGCTAAAGATGTGAAACACCTGGAATTAATTCCTCTGCCCCACAGAGCATGTTCATCTTGTGTGCCACGACTTAAAATGTTATCTATACGGTCAATTTATCTAATATCTTTTTTTTTTTTAATAGACTGTATCATCATTCAGTAGAACAGAGGAGGCTTCCAGATTTCCCTTTTGCTTAGGTCAGTGCCTGTGGAAGACTTCCACTTGTTCTCCATCTCTCTTAAGAAGGGTTTAACTGTTGCGGTTAGTAGAGAAGACAATATCCTGCATCAGTTGACTGATCACTGGTTTGAGTAATTTCCTGCAAGTGTGGGATACCGACCTGCACACTCTCAGGCAGAGGTGGAAAATGAGCCTTTTCCCTGTGCCTTGGGTGAGCATTGTGATTACTGAACAGTTTTAAATAATTCAGCAGAACCAGTGGTGTGGATCTAGTAAGGCTTCTTATTCCCCAGCTCACAGTGTTGAGCCTGTTTACCTTAGCTAACCTGCTGCCATTGAGATGGGTTTTGTGAGTCTGAAGTACAGGAATTCCACTCTTCTGTTGAGCATGTGAGGGCTGTAGACACTGCTTTGGTGAGGAGGCACACAAAGTCTTCCATGGGGTCTGTGTGTAAATCTATAGGCTTCTTTAAAAATGCAAGCAA